GGGGGGGGGGGGGGGGGGGGGGGGGGAGAGAGAGAGAGGATGCTGAAACTCGATGAGAATGCGGGGTCAAGGAAGGGTTTTTTATTTTATTTTTTTAAGCTGTGGAAAACTTAAACATGTTTATGTGCTGAGGGTAAAGAGCCAGTAAGAGTAGCATAAATCATAACAACAGAATATACTAAAACGAGGCAAAAATACAAAACTGTAAAAGCCTTAAAGATAAAGAAAATATGCTCTCAATAAACATAAGGAGAAAAGGCAGAAGGAAAAAAAAGCCTTGCAGTGGAAAGCAGGCATTGGCCTGAGTACCCCACAGTCCATCCCCAGACCTGGGCAGCCGCTCACTCTGGGGTCAGAGAACAGTTCCACGCCCTTAGCCTCTTGCTTCTTTCGCCTCCGGGGCCTCACCCAGGGGACCAGGAAGGGGCCCTTGAGAAGCAGTTACCTGGTGATTAGGATGAGACATGTCCACCGAGTCCAGTACACACAGCCTTGGGTGCTTACTCAAGTCCACAGTTGGAAAGGGGCCACGGGAAAGCAGGAGATGGAAGATGCAGGAGAGAAAGATGACTGCCCAGGTCCCTGCAGAGGAGCTGGTGTCCAGAACACAAGGGAGAGATTCGCCTCAGATCAGATAAGAGGCCCCTGGCTATGAGACAAGAGCAGAGGAAGAAACCTTGTATGTCAGGGGGTGGGGGTGGGCCGGAAGGGGACTTCATTTTCTCTGTAAACTCAAAGGCAAGGGCATCTGCTGAGAGTTATCATCAGGAATGGGCTGGAGGTATCAGTTAGGAAGGCTTTTGGCTTCAAGTACCCCCAAATCCAACTAATAGTGGCTTATATCCCAAAGGCCTTTACTGCTTAGCAAGCAAGAAGTCTGGAGGTAGGCAGTTTCAAGGTTCGTCCATGGTTCATTGATTGTATGGAGGCACCGATTCTATCAGCCACTCTGCCCTGCCATCCTTAGTTATTGACTTTTCCTCCCCATGCTTGCTACCTTGTAGTGTCAACATGTCTGCCGTAGCTCCAGGAATCAAGTGTTTATTTTAGGAGAGAGAGTCACAGACAGTCAGGCAATGAGAAAACTCTTTCACTCTCGCCTCTTGTCAGGAAGAAACATTCTCTTCAGAAGCTTCCCAGGAGGCTTCCCCTTATTAGCCAAGACTGTGTCACAAACCCATCATAAAACATATTACCTAAAATTAAGAGATCTTTGCCTAATGCCCAAACAAAATTGGATTCTGTTAGCAGGGAACAGGTGGGGGAAATGCCTTGGGTGGAGAGCCTTAGAGTCTGCTACAATCAGGTAGGCGGATGGAGAAGAGGAAAAAAGTTTTCCGGTAGCTACAAAAGGGAAAGGAAAGAAATAAAGCATTGCCCAGCAGCAGCAGAGGTCCAGCTGGGTTTGAGGCCCGGCATAAGGGAGCAGGGTGAAAGCAGGGCAGATGGGAATGACCGCCAAAGCCCCATTTACATAGAAGGCCTCCATCAGGTGCCACCAAAACTTCACATGATGGCATGATCAAATTCCAAAACGTCCACTGGCCTGATCATCACGTATCACGAACACTTACGGTTCAGCTGCAGGAAAAGAAACTGCTCCAGCCATTTTAAGCAGAAAGGGATTTAATGCAGGGTATTGGGTATTTGCAAAATTGTTGTAAGAATGGGAGGATCGGGACTTCCCTGGTGGTCCAGTGGTTAAGACTCTGCACCCCCAATGCAGGCGGCCCGGGTTCGATCCCTGGTCAGGGAACTAGATCCCACATGCTGCAACTGAGAGCCCGCGTGCCGCAACTAAAGATCCCACATGCCACAACGAAGATCCCACGTGCCGCAACTAAGACCTGGCCCAGCAAAAAAAAAAAGAAACAAAAAGAATGGGAGGTTCAGGCTTTGGGCTGGCCCTCCAGGACTGACTCTCAGAATGATACCACAGAACTACTGGCCTGCCAGGGGAGCTACTCTACCTTGACCTCAGCCAGAAAGGTTGAAGGCTGTATAGGGACTGGTGGTTTCAAGAGCGTGATGCTTTAGCTGTGATCCAGGGGTCAGGAAGACTTGCATGCTGTTGCCACAACTGCCAACTGACACTCATGGGGCTAGTGTTGGGCACTGGAAAACTACTGCAGGAACTTACTTGCCCTATGACCATGCTTGTCAATGGAACGTGGCCTCAGCCTCACTCCCACCCTCCAAGTAATCCACAAGAGCATCAAACGGGTAGAATCCAATTCACACTCGGAACACTAGCTTCCCACACCCTGAAGTATAGGAAGGCACAGAAAAGGAGGGTAGGATGAATGTCGAGAACACAAATCCTCCATATGCACTATGACATTCTAGTAACTTTTCCTGATCCCAAGGCTGCTTTTAAGAGCTCTTTCATGCTTCAGATCACAAAAAGCTTTGGTGAATGATTTTTTTAAATTTATTTTTATTTGTAACCATGGTTACAAATAAAAAACCCCTCCACATAACGTAAAGTTTACCATCATAACCATTTATAAGTGTACAGTTCAGTAGTGTCAAGTATATTCACATTGTTATGTAACAGAGCTCCAGAATGTTTTCATCTTGTAAAACTGGAACTACATACTCATCAAACGATAACTCCTCATTCCCCCTCCCCCCAGGCCCTGGCAACCACCATTCTACTTTCTGCTTCTATGAATTTGACTACTCTAGATACCTCAAAAAAGTAAAATCATACAGAATTTGTCATTTTGTGATTGGTTTATTTCTGGTGAATGATTCTTTTAAGAAACTCAGGCTATCAAGATCTGCAATGAACAAATAGGACCCCCAGTTATATTACAAATCTTTGCTATAATGAGCAAAGACATTCTACAGTCTCCAGAGGAGAGCTATAATGCCTCAGCCCAAAAAGCATCCCTTTAGGCAGATTTTATAGTGATATATGTCTTTTTCTCCAAAACCCTGGATAGGCATAGAACTCTCAAAATGAGTGGTCAAGAAAAACCTCACTACAGTGGGGAGAATGCTATTTCCAGTATACTTTCTGCAATAGGCAGAATTCTGGGACGGCCCCCAGGGTTCCTCAGTCAGTAGAATCCCCTCTCCTTGAGTGTGGGAGGGACTTATGAATATGGTGACATATCATTGTAATGATTAGGTTGTAGCACATTGCATGGTTGACTTTAAGAAAGGGAGATGAGGAGGGGGCTCAAGATGGAGTAGGAGGACGTGGAGCTCACCTCCTCCCACAAAAACATCAAAAATACATCTACATGTGGAATAGCTCTCACAGAAAACTAACTGGAAACTGGCAGAAGAACTCCTATACAACCAAAGCTGTAAGAAAAATCTCCACATAACTGGGTAGGATGGAAGAAAGGTACTGGTTTGGGACCCGCACTCCCGGGAGGGATCAGAAAGGAAGAGAAGGTCTACATGGGTGGACCCTCACCCTGGAGAGCAAGCAGGTCGAGCCACAGTCTGGGCATCCCACGCCTGGGGTCCTGCATGGAGGAGACACACCCGCTTGGCTGCTGAGAGGACCAATGGGACAGACAGAAGGGCTGGAGAAGCCTAGACTCTACTTGAGAGGAGTGTGCACATGATGGCTTTCCAACAATAAGGGCAGAAAAAGCCTTGCGCTGGTGGCTGCTGCCTGGCCACACTCCCCGATCCGATGGGGCAAACACCCCAGCCCTGCTCACTCTACACCACAGCTTGATGATCTGGGCCAACCAGGCCCTGGGAAATGACTGGATCTAGCTACGCATAGACAGCCTGGGGGGCCTAGGGTGCAGTCCGGGTGGCGAGGCGACGGCTATTGTCAGCAAGCTCAGGAGCAAGCAGAGTTAGTGTCCCAGCCAGAGCACCCTGCCTCCACCCACTCCACACTGCAGTTTAGCACTGGATCTGGAACAGACACGTCCTGGGAGAAGACTGCCACAGAGGCAGCCCAGATCTCAGGCTGAAACACAGCCACCTCAGTTCCTGCAGCCACAATGCCCCGACCCTGCAACCCCAGCCTACTCAACACCACAGCCTTGCACTAGATCTGGGATGAACAAAACAGGGGACAGGGTGTGACCTTGGGCTGCTTCTGAGCAGAGCTGCAGATGCCTACACAGGCGGCGCATAGGTCTCCTGTGAGCACATGGGCCTCACTTGCTACAGCAATTACCTTATTTGGGCCAGGGCATGCACTCAAGGACAACAGAGCCTGATTGAACCTGACCCTCAGGTTTTCTACTCCAACAACTGGGGAGTAGACCCTGCCCCTGACAGGGCAGCAACAGCTACAGAGCAGAGAAGAAGTCCTGCCACACACCCTGCATAGGCTTTAATTCCCCCCACACCAACCACACCCCCTATCAAGGGGATAACAGCCAGCACACCCTGAAGAAAGACGTGTTTGGCGTCCATATCAAAACCAGCCCTCCCACCAAAGACATTAGACACACACAGTCTATGCAGGAATGCTCCCACGTAAAAACACCCATTCAAGACCACAGCAGGTAACTGTTCCTCCTAAATTCTTAGAGACAGAGAACACTAAGTAAAATGAAAAGGCAAAGGAACTACTCGCAGTTAAAAGAGCAAGAGAAATCCCCTGAAAGAACAAATAATGAAACAGAGCTCACCAGTCTATCAGACCCAAGTTAAAAAAGGTGGTAATAAAAATGCTAACAGAATTTTAAAAGATTATCGATAGAAACACAGATCACTGTAACAAGGAACTAGAAACTACAAAGATGAACCAATAAAAAATAGGTAATTCAATTGCCGAGATAAAAAGCAATCTAGAAGCAATGAATAGCAGACTAAATGACATAGAACAACAAATAAGTGATCTGGAAGATAGAAAAATGGAAATCACCCAATCAGAACAGCAGACAGAAAGACAAATGAAAAAACAATGAAAGCAACATACAAGATCTTCGGGATAACATAAAACGTACCAACATACACATAATAAGGGTTCCAGAATGAGAAGAGAGAGAAGAGGGGATTGAAAATGTATTTGAAGAAATTATGGCTGAAAACTTCCCAAACCTAAAGAAGGAAACAGATATCCAGGAACAGGAAGCACAGAGGATCCCCCCAAAAATGAACCCAAATAGACCCGCACTAAAACATAGCATAATTAAAATGGCAAAAGTTAAAGAGAGAATTCTAAAAGCAGCAAGAGAGGGAATTCCCTGGTGGTCCAGTGGTTAGGACTTGGCACCTTCACTGCTGTGGCCTGGGTTCAATCCCTGGTCTGGGAACTAAGATCCCACAAGCCGTGCAGCATGGCAAATAAACAAATAAATAAATAAATAAAAGCAGCAAGAGGAAAACAAAGAGACAGTTACAAGGGAACCCCTATAAGGCTATCAGTTGATTTCTCTCCAGAAACTCTGTAGGCCAGAAGGGAGTGATATGATATATTCAAAGTCCTGAAAGGGAAAATCCTGCAACTCAGGATACTCTACCCAGCAAGATTATCATTTAGAATAGAAGGAAAGAAAATGAGTTTCTCAGACAAACAAAAACTAAAAGAACTCAACAATACTAAAGCTACCCTAAAAGAAACATTGAAGGGTCTTCTCTAAATAGAAAAGAAGCAAGAATCTATAGGAAAAGGAAAACCACAGTAAGAAAGGCAAATATATAGTAAGAATTGAAGATCACTTAAATAAGACAGTACATAGATTTAAGAACAATTAAAAATTTGTAAAAGTGTTTATAGCTACAATAAACAGTAAAAGGATAAGCATGAAGTTGTAAAATAGGATGTCAAAATCACAAAATGTGGGGAGAAGAGTATAAAAATGTAGATCTTTTAGAATGTGTTTGAATTTGAATGACTATCAGTTTAAAGCAAGTAGATACAGTTATGGGTCAATATACTTGAACTCCATGGTAACCACAGATCAGAAACATACAAGAGAATCACAAAATCCAAAAAAAAAGGAACTCAAGCATACTACAAAAGAATATCATCAAGCCACAAAAGGAAAAACAAAAAGAAGAAGAAATGAACAAAGAAGAACTACAAAAACAACTGGAAAACAAAGATTTAAATGGCAATAAGTATATACCTATCAATAAGTATTTTAAATGTCAATGGACTAAATGCTCAGATCAAAAGACACAGAGTGGCAGACTGGATGAAAAAACAAGAATCTGCAATATGCTGCCTACAAGAGACTCAATTCAGGGTGAAAGACACACACAGACTGAAAGTGAGGGGATGGAAAAACACATTTCATGGAAATAGAAATGACAAAAAAGCGAGGGTAACGATACTCACATCAGACAAAGTAGACTTAAGACAAAGGCCATAAAGAAAGACAAAGAACGGCATCATGTAATGATAAAGGAATCAATACAAGAAGATGATATTACACACATCAACATATACGTACCCCACATAGGAGCACCTAAATGTACACAGCAAACACTAAGAGACATAAAGGGAGAAACTGACAATAACACAATAACCGTAGGAGATTTTAACACTGCACTGACATCAATGGACAGATCATCCAGACAGAAAATCAATGAGGCAACTGAGGTCCTAAATGACTGGTTGGACTTAACTGATATCTACAGAACACTACAACCAAACCCCCCCCCCCCCAGAATACACATTCTTTTCAAGCATGCATGGAACATTCTCTAGGATAGATCACGTGCTAGGTCACAAAACAAATCTCAACAAATTTAAGAGAACAGAAAATTTCAAGCATCTTTTCTGACCACAGCGGTATGAAACTAGAAATCAAACACAGGAAG